CTGACAAGTCGCAACAATAAATCTGATTCACAGGAAAACTGAGAATTTTCTAGACAGACAGGAGAAACCATGATTGTGTCCTTAATCAAATCTGGCAAAGGAGTGAGCTTCAGCTGTGGGGCTCAGGTGGACTTCCCCGAGTCTGCACATTGACTGAATAACATAATTTTGCCTGTCCCTCGGGGATCACTCAATCAGACTTCTCTTTAATAGTACACATTTATCACGTCTTTGTCTTAACAATTCAAAAATCTAATTCATCAGCACGGAGCAAAGCTGCAGTGGCTAAGCTCCGAGATGGAGCACAAAAAACTTTAAATGTTTTTCTCCTCTCCTTTTTCTGCAAAGACCCAAACAAGGATTCTTGCATCAGCCAGCTTGTCGTTCAGCATCTGCATCAGTGTGAAGTGAAAAAGGCCAACGTCTACGTGAGTTGCCATTGTTGTTGATGTAAGATGTGGAGCTCTGAGAGATTTGTGCAGGGCATCGTTGAGCCTTTGGAGGAGACGGCGAGACAACTTCCATGAGTGGTACCCAACATCTCTGATTCTGCTTCTATTTCTAAAAGCAAAGATGGAGCGGCACATTTGGATAAGTGGATCCACAATGGTTACCTCCCCTTTGGGGAAAACAACTCCATCATATGTTGGGCCATTTATTTTACTGAAGGGATCAGACCACTCTAACATGAGGTACATTTTGTTTTGTTGCTAATGTAAAAATAATCGTCCAAAAAAAAATACATATACCGTATTTTCACGACCATAGGGCGCACCGGGTTATAGGGCGCGGGCACGGTAAAACGTACCGGTAAAACATCTGTGCGGGCTCGGGACTCGGAACATATCAGTGCAAACCAGACATTGTGAAAATTATAAACAGCCAGAAGCATGCTTCACTTTACTGGTCTAGTCCTGGTTCAGACCTGGTTAGAGCGCACGTGCACTTCCTCACTGCGTGCGCTGACGGCTCGTGCTCTTCTAATGGGCTCGACACACGGGAGGCAACTTCGCCTCTCCTCCATTCATTTTCAATGAGACATGCGCGACAAAGCGATAATGGCGGGTCTCCCTCCTACTAAAGCCGGGCGTACACCGGGAGTGCTGCAGGAGGACACGCAGGGATTTATGGGGGTTGGATGAGGAAAACGAAATAAAGAAAGTAAATCTGTGTTTTGTGATCAGTTTAATTTGACATGAACACGACAAACACTCTTTCTTGACAATCTTTGTGAGTAAAAAACGTGTAGAAATAAAAACAAACAGCGTGTGTTATTAGGGAAATAGCGGGCGAGCAGTGTCGATGCGTGATTGCACATGCGCCGTGAGCGGTTCTGGTACTTTGTGGGTCGCAGCTGCTCGCAGCGCCGCTTCAAACGCTGTGTTGAAGTTCAGAATGTGTTTACCGGTAGTTGGTGGATTTAACCACATAAACTTTCCACATGAACAAAATCATATGTGTGTTATTAATAGGCCTAAGAAAATAGTGTGATTTGAGTTGTGTTTTATTAACCCTCTGGGGTCCACGGACGCGTATCCACGTTTTTTGAACAGGTCTGATTTGGGACGCTGTAGCTGCAAGACTCCGCCTCCCTGAGTTTCGGTTTCAATTCAGCTTTAAAAAGGAGATTATAAACTACACCCCAGTTTTTAAATTTTGTTAATAGGCATCGTAAAAGCGGAGTTATACTAAACTAAAAAACGACCTATTTTTAGACAATCTGATAACTTGTCAATACAGCAGTTTAGTAATCCGTGAGAGGGAATGTGCTTGTGAACATAAAAAACCCACAAAAACATGAGATCCTGTTGGTGGAAGTCTCACATATTCATTGATAAAAAGTATCATTATGTAGCTGAGAGAGAGAGGAAGGGTGCACGAGTAACGAGATGTGCCCAAAAAGGAGCCGCTTCGGGGAAAGGAGTGGCGCGAACGGAGTAACAACAAACAATTAGACAGATATTGACGGTAAACTTCATATTTGGGAGCGATTCGGACAGATATATCGTCTCTGCAGTTTAGTAGGCTTTTATTAGGCTTTAATAAAGGATGATGAGAAGGATAAATGTCCACCAGGCAGTTCAGATAGTACGGCTGTTTTTTGAACTGGAAGCAGAGGAAGTCTGAGGCAAACAGCGAGGATGTTGATGACGATGTAGCAGATCCACAGGTCTGTCTTCGCTCACGTCCGCACGTTCACGCCACGCCCCTTGTCTTCTTCTACATTCGCGTCTCACAGCAACACAATAGGCGCACCGCACCATAGGGCGCGGCGTACATTTTGGAGAAAATTTAAGACTTTTAGGTGCATCTTATGGTCGTGAAAATACGGTATATTTCTTTTTTTTATATTTTCTGCATAACAGCTTGTTGTGTCAAAATAAATACATAAACACAGACGCACCATACATCTGACCAGATAAACCAGAAAAGAACATGAATAAATAACCAGGAATGAGAATTGTCCATCCACGTTTCATCGTATGTACCACTGCCAACAACTGCGCTGCCACTTTTTATGTCTCTTCCAGAGAATTTCTGAGATTTATGATCTGGGGGGGGGGGGGGATACCACGTAGCGAGCTAATCCCAATATCCAGACTCTTTGAAAGTCCCGGTTTAATTTCCATAATTCAATCCCACAAATGTGGGTAGCCTGAAACCCCTCCCATTCACCATGGTAACACATGCTAAGTATAATTATATATCAGCTTTGTCTGAGATAAAGAACGTGCTGTCGTTTTTATGAATACGTTAAAATAGTCTTAAAGTACCTTACAACTGCTAACATAATACATACAAAAGGAAATACTTTGATGTGACTATACATTTTAACAGCTTGTACTCTGGTCACATGTGGCAAACACTGTAATATTTGTTTGAAATGGCATACGTGATGTTTTCCTTGGTATGTAATGAGCGCTACATGTATTTGTGACAAACGGTTTACAGCATTACTTTAGGGTTACATTTTTCAAACAAAGTCATCAAGCCTCTAAACATCCAGACTCTGGAACAGAACATGAAAATGACACATAAATGATGAAAACTTAAATAAATTTTGTGGAGAAACAGAACTGAAACGGACTTCCAGCATTGCCGTGGAAAGAAGTAAACACTGAGCATTCTAACTAAATAGCGCCAGTTACACAGCTGGTGGTTTTTGTTTTAGCTATGATATCTTAGGGATGTCCCGTTCTGATATTGATATCGGAAATTGGTCCGATATTGGCCAAAAAAACTGTATCGGATTAAATTGGACTGCATCGAAAATCTCTGATGTATGCAGTCCATTCTGCTTTAACTTCCATTCCAGCAACTTTTTCTAGGACTGCCACAATTTGTCGACTCGCCACAACGACGTCGACAAATAAAATAGTCGATACGTCGTTTATTCACAACATTTTTTTTAAATCTTGCACGTTCTGCCTTTCTGCTCAGCCGCCGCTTTCGCTCCAAGGCGCATGGATGGCAGTGGCCATCCGGATCAGCATTCGTCACCGGAGATATACAACATGGCGAGTCGGCAACGCAGCTCTAAAGTTTGGGAGCATTATACAAAGACAAAAGAAAGACCAGTAGAGCGCAAACTCTGCAAAGTGAAACTGTCCTTTCACAGGAATTGTTTTGCAACAATTCCCAGCTGATGGAGAAGTCTGAAAGCAAAACGTCTCTGTCAGTATGTGTGTCTCCCCCTCGCGGAGAGTATAAATTAGCCTTTACTTGTGAAAGAACAAAGTGATGTTACTCTGCTCCACTCTATTTATTGTAACACACATTTTAAATTGTGGCAACTAAATTTTCATGTCATTAAGACACCATTGTCCAAAGAAACCTCGCTGGTTTAACTGGACAAATAAAGAAAAGAACAGTGAATTTACATGTTTTCAAAGAAATGTAATAAAAAATGTCCGCTCTAGCATTGTTTTTTTTTTAATGCTTCCACACAGCAATAGTCCTGGGGGAGCAGACAGATTCTGCTCATTAGTGAAGCCCTACTACACACATTTACACCTGCCAGGGGTACAGTCTAATACCGCTGCACAACTTAACACTTTTTAGAGTTATTGTTGAGTAATTGCTCCGCTTTAAGGCAACACGTCGAGGAAAATACAGAGTGGTGCATGTGCATGATCCACATCCAGATTCATGCAGTTTATTCCTTCCTTTTCTACAGCTTCCAGGGTCATCCCATCTCTCCCCCCCCCCCCCCCCAAAAAAAAAACACACCACCCCTCATATATGCACCCCTCTATGCAAGCTTTAGATCAATACATGACCCCTGAGCACAGCCAAGCCAGGGTGCAGGAGCAGGCTCTCACGGGAAATTAAAAATGGATTCAGCACAGAGTAGTGGCGGGTTTTGGTTTCAGTCGACTATCTGCAAGATGAAAATAGAATCTGTCAGCTATGGCTTGCAGCCGGCACATGCACAAGACAGCCGCCAGGGGCAGGGTGTTTCAAACATGGTGAGGTGATGGGTGGCATGGCTTTCTTCTGGGAAGCAAGATGAAAAGGTGACTAATCTGAGCATGTGGGAGCCTTTTTTTTTGACAGAAAACGAGATGTATGGTGAGTATGAAAAAGTAGTCTGTAGAGCAAGATAGTGACATTAAGGAGCTCCACAAGTTTAATAACACGGATGAGCCAACATAATCACATCATAAACGCTGCTAATGAAGTCTCTTTCTAGGGTTTGTGATTTATTTATTTATTTATTTTTGCTTTATTTTGCATTCTAATAGGCTCAAGACTGTTCATGTCAAATCCCAGATGTCAAAATAAAACAACAGAAATGAATGACAAAAAAGCAGGTCCAAACTGGAGTAAACCCCATGATTAGTTCCTCCCATCATCATAACGTGAGACAACTTCATCAGCACCACCAGCAAATGATGCACCCCCTTCAATATTGCAGCCCTGTTAAGAGGCAACCTTCACATTTACCAACAAAAATAAATACATAAATAAATAAACAATGGCAGAGCATCTCCTCTTACCCATCTGTGCCTGTGTCAGATGTCTTTCAGAGGTTCATGGTGGAGGAGAGCGCTGCTGCTCGGTCTGACTCAAGCCTTTTGCCGCAGAAGCCACCGTGCCATCGCATTATTCGGTACCGGAGATTCGGTGATATCAGGGGGGGTTCGGTGCCTCTGCTTCAGCCGGGTTACTCTACGTTCATCCCGGCTCTGCTTTCACCTCCTCCCTCCCTGGTGTTGGTGTCCGCCGGATCGCAGGCGCCGCGTCCCGAGCAGCAGGGCGCACTTGGGGGAATCCTGTCGATCTGATCGTGGTGATGGAACAACCTCCTGACTGGGAGCAGGATGGGATATTTGAGGGGGGAATGAAAGGATGGAAATGTTGAGGGACGCGGTGAGGACGGCGGGGGGTGATAGCCGCCTGTCTGCTGTCCTATTCCCGGTTTTACGTCGTGTTTACGATCCGCTGTCGCCTCCTCCCTCCGCCTTCCACCGCCCGTGATGCGTCTCTCTCGGTTCCGTGCTCTGGACACGCCGTAACGCCTGTTCCGCTCGGACAAAAATAAAGAAACACCAGTCCCGTAATCTCCCTGTTATTTCACGCCTTTTTCATCTCCCCGAGCTGCAAGAACGAGAAGGTGGACACGAGACGAGCGTTTGTGTGAGGGGGGCAAGTGGAAGAAACCGAAGGGAGCGGAAGGAGGAGCCCCGGAGAGGAGAGCTCCACCCCGTTATGCTGCTTTATCAGCGGGAGGAAGGGGGCGCAGATCGGGAGAAATATGAGTGAAGGGGGTGGGAATGAGCACAACGGACTGGTATTTCTCCAGTCATGCACACACACTCCACTCGCTTTCTGCACAACTGCGGGGTAAAATTTAAACTTAACACACCGGAAACAGTCATGGCCGAGCCGTGGTGCTCGGTGCATACTAAACCAAATGCTGCAGATGTAGGATGATGCTATTTGTGGACTGTTCTTGGCTAAACTAATAACCTGAGGGGGCGCTAGTGGAGCAGTTTGGTGTGATTCACAGAAACTGATAGCATCACTCATGCAACATTGTATTTTAGTTATTACTTCTAATGTATGAATCTATGAATGTGCACCCCCCTTGTGTTTGTCAGCAACTGTCTACTAGTTGGGCTTTGAAACTCTCACAAAGCGACCATTGGAATGGACCATCTACAACTGTGGAGTGCAACAACACATCAATCTGTATCAATGATGTAGCGACCGATCCAGAATGACAAACATCTATAGAATAACTATTCATCAAATGCACTTTTTTTTTACAAAAAAGCTTAATTTTGAAGTTCCACTGACATGCACCTTCCACCTTTTCCTGCACATCATTAAACACGTTAAAAGAAAAGCTAGCCTCGTCATGGCGAGTGTTCAGAAAGTAGTCAGTGAAGAAACTTTCCCTCCCCTGGGAAATTATGATTATGTTCAATCACTTGTAATATTGTTTCATATCGATTGGCGGATCACATGAAAATGATATTGTGACTGGATTTGGGATATCGGCAAACACCAGATTGCAATCCACTGTTTCGATTTGACGTATCGTGATCAAACTAGTGATTAACACCCCTACTGATTACCTGCTGAAATTAACATAATTCAAGATGGTCACCATGATGACTGGCAGTAGAAAAACCAAAAAGTGCTATAACTCAATTCATTTTTCAGATGTTGCGATACAATGCACGATGTATCGGCATCAACATCAGAATTGGTCAATGATGGTCATTTTTTAACTTCTCAGTATCGGTCCAATAAGTAAAACTGGGCCGATATTAACAACTGATGTTGCCATTTTGTTGCCGTTCGCATTTGCATTTCAGGGAGAGGATGGGATTGGCCACATAGTATTTGTTTGGTTATGCTGACATTGGTAGTGATGCAGTGCCAGTTGGTGTGTTTAACAGAAGCACAGAAGCAATGCAGATGTTGCCACTTTTTTTGATGTTGGAAGTCTAAGGAAATAAAAAATCTTGGTAAATATTAGTGATTGGTCATCACAGAAGTATTGATATTGATACTATATTGGTATTTAATTCAAGTTTATTTATACAGTGCCAAGTCACATCAAGAGTCGTCTCAAGGCACTTCACATAGGAAACATTCCAATACAGGTCAGTTCATTAAGCCAATCAGAAAAAAAGTTTCCTATATAAGGAACCCAGCAAATTGCATCAAGTCACTGACTAGTGTCAGTGACTTTACAGCAATCCTCATACTAAGCAAGCATTTAGCGACAGTGGAGAGGAAAACTCCCTTTTAACAGGAAGAAACCGCCAGAGGATCCTGGCTCAGTATAAGCAGCCATCCACCACGACTCACTGGGGATCGAGAAGACAGAGCAGACACACGCATACACCAACACCAACCCACCCACACGCAAACACACACACACACACACACACACACACACACACACACACACACACACACACACACACTATATATACCAAGTAAAGTTTCTATGTTTACATTGTGATTTCTTTGTAAACACTCTATTTGGTGAGAGGTAAACTTTATTGTATTTATCCTAATGAATCTATGATTAAACAGGTAAACTAGTGGTAGCACATTCAATTCAATTCAACTTTATTAATCCCAGAGGGAAATTGATTAAATGACAAAGAAAGTAAAATGTTATTATCAGAAGAGGGAGAATGTTTAAATGGTTAGCAACAGTGTTCAAGCCGATGGCCCCCTCCATGAGGCCACCACAGCTCAGCAGAACATTATTGTACCTTCTTCTGGGGAGAAAAACACTTAGAGAAAAACTAAAGTTAACAGCTGAAATAGCAGGAAATAATACAGTTAAAGAGCATATTGTAGAACAAAGTAGTTGAGTGTGGAAAGTGGTCAGTGTGTCCTCCAGCAGTCTAAGCTGTCTAAGCAGCATAACTACAGAGATAACTCTGGATAACCTAGCCTTTTAAACGGAGGCATGTTAGATGCAAGGGGGAGCCGTCTTTACCGACTGTACACTCCACCTCCCTCTACTTCCCCACTTGTCCAGATCTAGGCTAACATCAGATTTTAACCATAGGCCCTATCAAATAAAAATGTTTTAAGCCTTGTCTTAAAAGTAGACAAGGTGTCTGTCTCATGAACTAAAGCTGGGAGCTGGTTCCACAGGAGAGGAGCCTGATACCTAAAAGATCTGCCCCCCATCCTATTTTTAGATATTCTGGGAACCACCAGTAAACCTGCAGTCTCAGAGCAAAGTGCTCGATTAGGAACATCTGGAACAATCAGGTCACTGATATACGATGGAGATTGATTATTAAGAGCTTTATATGTGAGAAGGAGGATCTTAAAATCTATTCTGAATTTAACAGGTAGCCAATGTAGGGAAGCTAAGACAGGAGAGACATAATCTCTTTTTTTAATCCTCATCAGAACTCTAGCTGCAGCATTTTGGACAAGCTGAAGACTTTTAACTACATTCTGTGGACTTCCTGAGAGTAATGAATTACAGTAATCCAGTCTTGATGTAATAAATGCATGAACTAGTTTTTCAGCATCACTCCTGGAAAGGATGCTTCTAATCTTAGCAATTCCAAAGGTGGAAAAAGGAAATCCGACAAACTTGTTTAACCTGGAATTTGAACGACATGTCCTGGTCAAAGATAACACCAAGGTTCCTTACTTTGTTCTCAGAGATTAATTAAATGCCATTCAGGTCAGGTGATTGACTAAGCAATTTCCTTTTCAGAATTTCAGGTATTTATTTTGATATCAGCCCAAATTGTCATATTGATGCATCCCTAATAACGTATTATGTTCAATGCATAATCCAATATTTTGCAAGACCGTCCCAACTTTTCCATTAAGTCAACCATTCGCCCATTTGAACCCCATTTTTGCATAAGCAAATTTCTCACAAACCAAAAGTCAGACTTCACTGAAACCTTTACAACATAAACAAATGTATAACTGATAACATTTTGTAGTCATTACAATTCCAATGGATGAGGGCAACTCAAGACAAACAATGTTAGAAAACACAAATTTTGCTATAAGTCAGTCAACCGTACAGATACTAAGCTAAAATTTTACAATTGTTAATTTGTTCATAACTCTAGATTATCTATTGCATTATTTTCAAGATCTGACCAAAATGGTTATGACTCCATCATTTCTCAATATAAATGGATTCTTTCAAGGGATGTTGGACACATTAATTTAAAACCTAATGCAAATCTCACCTAATGCATTCTACCTCTGAAGGACTGGTTTTATAAAAACAAAAAAAATGTTCTTGACAAATGTAATAGTGTGCTTTAATGTAATAGTGTGCTTTAGTTTTTATGTATTAGTAAAAAAAAAAGCTCTGTAATTTTGCAAAGATCTATGGTTTGTTTATTTAGTTGGATAATGTTTTACACAAGAGGTTCTTATAATCACTTAAACACCGAAGTGGATCGATCGCAGCTGATTACCACTGTACGGTAACTGCACGCTCAAGTTTCTGTTAAAGTACAAAACAGGAACCCTTCTCCGTGCCAGTGAATGTGTCTGCAGCTAAAAAGCGTCCCTGCTATTTAAAGATTAGTCCTTTTAATAACAGTCTAGGCTACACACTGTCATGCTCTGTGTCTCTCTCAGTGCAGATGAAGTTGCTGATTGGACGAAAAAGGAATTATCAGTATTTTCTAACATAGTTCCATAGATAGTCTTGTGAACACAAGTCCATGTGAATGCCGCTATGCAGATTTGACACCTTGAGGTTTCATAATTACAGTAGAAGTTGGCATTTATCTCAGCTCAGTTAGCAGTTGTGTTACATACTGGTTGTTGAGAACTGTGTTAGGTTTATTACGTTTATGAATCTGTAGCCAAGCAGAAACCATCAGCAGTGCCTGAAGCTGGACAACTAAAATAGGAACTGACACATTTGAGACAATATCATTTATTTACTGACCTTTTCATAAATACCTAGTTCAACTTTCTGTTCTTATAAAGCAGGTCTTTTTGGTTGGCTGCAGTTTACAGAACTTTACCATCAGGAACTTTGATATGCAACTTCAAATATGCACATGTACATAATTAGTCATTCTATGCAATTAATTAAATAAATAAATAAAACCATCCGAGCCTTCTCTGGGTCAGGGGTGAGGTCCTGCCTCAAATGGAGGAGTGTTAGAATCTTGGGGTCTTGTACAAGAGTGAGGGAAACATGGAGCTCGAGATCGATTGGCGGATTGGTGCTGCATCTGCAGTGATGCGGGTGTTGTACTAGTCTGTCGTGGTTAAGATTAGGGTAGATCTACATTCCAACCCTCAACTACGGTCACGAGCTTTAGGTAGTGGCCAAAAGAATGAGATTGCAGATACAAGCAACCAAAATTAGTTTTTTTTTCTCGTTGGGAGTCTGGCCTCTCTCATAGAGATAGGGTGAGTAGCTCGATCTTCCGGGAGGGGCTCGGAGTAGACCTGCTGCTCCTCCATGTTGAGAGGAGCCAGTTGAGGTGGTTTGGGTGTCTGATTAGGATGCCTCACTGGTTAGGGTTTCCAGGCACGTCCAATTGGGAGGAGACCTAAAGGAAGACCCAGGACTTGCAGGAGAGATCATGTTTCTCAGCTGGCCAGGGAACACTTGGGATTCCCCCAGAGGAGCTGGCCCAAGTGGCTAGGGAGAGGGAAGTCTGGACCTCTCTGCTTAGACTGCTGCCCCTGAGACCCAACCCCTGACAAGTGGATGAAAATGGATGGATGGATGGATGGATGGATGGATGGATGGATGAATAAATCAATAAATAACACCATAATTATGTGCAGGGAGCGTTTCAGAGTGAGCACACTGTGGGTCCAATGAAACAAAATGGTCATTGTCAAATGAAATATCTGTCATGGTCTGTGTCTGTGTCTTCATTCATGTGTCTCCTGATGTTTCTCCATCCCTCTCTGGATTCCCTTCTGTGTCTCATGGCTCCCTCATGTGTCTTTTGTCTGCGTCTCAGTTAAGTGTCTTATGTTGTTACCCTTTTTAATCATTCCTCCCAGGTCAGCTCCAGCCTCTTTGTCCCCAGCTCAGTGTATGTGTGTGTGTGTGTGTGTGTGTGTGTGTGTGTGTGTGTGTGTGTGTGGGTGTGTGGGTGTGTGTGTGTGTCCTCCTCCAGCTAGTTTGTGTGAGCCCTTCCCTCTGTCTTTAGATAATTGTTGTTTAGTTTTGTGTTTAGGTATTTGCCCTCCTCTGTTTCTGTTTTCCCACTTAGATTATTAGATTCACCTGTCTTCCCTCCAGCCCTCACTCCACACACCTGCTGCCATTTTCCCTAATTACTCCTCCCTGTGTATTTAAGCCCTGTCTTGTCTCTGTCTTGTGTCGGTCCATTGTGGTAATTCTGTCAGTCTCTCGTTCCTAGTCTCTAGTGCTTCTCGTGTCTCAGTTGGATCTCTAGTCTATTTGCTCCCTGCCCTGGATTTATTCTTCTTTTCATCCTTCAAAAATAAAGGATTTTACTTTACATCATCTCCTGCGTCGTGTCATCCTGGGTACTGCATTTTGGGTCCAACAAACCTCGTATCGTGACAATATCCTGGTTTCACCTTTCAGCAACAGAAGATGGAGAAATGAAGATTTCTTGTCTGTGGTATCTAGAACAAAGCTTAAGTATTTTTTTAAATAAAGTGGCTCAACTGACACACCAACAAGCTAGTGTAGGTGTTAGTAAGTACCATGCAAATGTGACCAAGGGACAACACACTTCCAATATCTTTCAGTAAGCTTTACATTCCCAATAATCTTCAAAAAGCAAATTGACTGACTTAAAAGATTTTAAGGTTATTTAATGATGACTATTTTCAAACCTTAGCATTCCCTATCAATGCCGAGGAAAAGTTTTAGCATTAATTTCTGATACTCTGTGTCTTAATCTGATATCTGCATTTACACAGGCAATAATATTTTGTATTTCAAAGCCACAAAACACAAAATTTTCTTAACCTACCAACTTGATGAAACATATTTCATTTAACCTTAATACTTGCTTTAATCCCTGAACCTTTTCAATAAACCCAAACAAACGGTTGTGAATACAAGTGAAACGAAATCAATGCTTTTTGTCAAGTTAGGTTTATTTTTGGCTGGTTTTGTCACTTTTCTCTATTCTTATTTCAGCTCTCTCATAAAACACTAAGGCCTTGCATCAGGTACAAAGGTCAATAGATGTGTAACGGAATGAAATGACTGTTTTCCACCAAAAGTCATTTTCCCCCTCTCCTCTGACACAGAACTAGTCTGCATGAGATATGGCCTCAAGGTCTCCTGCATTTGCTTCTAAACTGAACTCTATTTTTAATAAAGCTAATAAAACAAAGTGTTAGTC